GCTACTCCAGTGTTTGCCATTGGTCTGTGTATATGACGACAGCTACTCCAGTGTTTTGCCATTGTTCTGTGTATATGACGACAGCTACTCAAGTGTTTGCCATTGTTCTGTGTATATGACGACAGCTACTCCAGTTTTTTGCCATTGTTCTGTGTATATGACGACAGCTACTCCAGTGTTTGCCATTGGTCTGTGTATATGACGACAGCTACTCCAGTGTTTTGCCATTGTTCTGTGTATATGACGACAGCTACTCAAGTGTTTGCCATTGTTCTGTGTATATGACGACAGCTACTCCAGTTTTTTGCCATTGTTCTGTGTATATGACGACAGCTACTCAAGTGTTTGCCATTGTTCTGTGTATATGACGACAGCTACTCCAGTGTTTTGCCATTGTTCTGTGTATATGACGACATCTACTCCAGTGTTTTGCCATTGTTCTGTGTATATGACGACATCTACTCCAGTGTTTTGACATTGTTCTGTGTATATGACGATAACTACTCCAGTGTTTTGCCATTGTTCTGTGTATATGACGACATCTACTCCAGTGTTTTGCCATTGTTCTGTGTATATGACGACAGCTACTTCAATGTTTTGCAATTGTTCTGTGTATATGACGACAGCTACTTCAATGTTTTGCCATTGTTCTGTGTATATGACGACAGCTACTCCAGTGTTTTGCTTATGTGTATATGACGACAGCTACTCCAGTGTTTTGCCATTGTTCTGTGTATATGACGACAGCTACTCCAGTGTTTGCCATTGTTCTGTGTATATGACGACAGCTACTCCAGTGTTTTGCCATTGTTATGTGTATATGACGACATCTACTCCAGTGTTTTGCCATTGTTCTGTGTATATGACGACATCTACTCCAGTGTTTTGCCATTGTTCTGTGTATATCACGACAGCTACTCCAGTGTTTTGCCATTGTTCTGTGTATATGACGACATCTACTCCAGTGTTTTGCCATTGTTCTGTGTATATGACGACAGCTACTTCAATGTTTTGAAATTGTTCTGTGTATATGACGACAACTACTTCAATGTTTTGCCATTGTTCTGTGTATATGACGACAGCTACTCAAGTGTTTGCCATTGTTCTGTGTATATGACGACAGCTACTGCAGTGTTTTGCCATTGTTCTGTGTATATGACGACAGCTACTCCAGTGTTTTGCCATTGTTCTGTGTATATGACGACAGCTACTCCAGTGTTTTGCCATTGTTATGTGTATATGACGACAGCTACTCCAGTGTTTTGCCATTGTTCTGTGTATATGACGACAGCTACTCCAGTGCTTTGCCATTGTTCTGTGTATATGACGACATCTACTCCAGTGTTTTGCCATTGTTCTGTGTATATGACGACAGCTACTTCAATGTTTTGCAATTGTTCTGTGTATATGACGACAGCTACTCAAGTGTTTGCCATTGTTCTGTGTATATGACGACAGCTACTCGAGTGTTTTGCCATTGTTCTGTGTATATGACGACAGCTACTCGAGTGTTTTGCCATTGTTCTGTGTATATGACGACAGCTACTCCAGTGTTTTGCCATTGTTCTGTGTATATGACGACAGCTACTCCAGTGTTTTGCCATTGTTCTGTGTATATGACGACAGCTACTCCAGTGTTTTGCCATTGTTCTGTGTATATGACGACAGCTACTCCAGTGTTTTGCCATTGTTCTGTGTATATGACGACAGCTACTCCAGTGTTTTGCCATTGTTCTGTGTATATGACGACAGCTACTCCAGTGTTTTGCCATTGTTCTGTGTATATGACGACAGCTACTCCAGAGTTTTGCCATTGTTCTGTGTATATGACGACAGCTACTCCAGTGTTTTGCCATTGTTATGTGTATATGACGACAGCTACTCCAGTGTTTTGCCATTGTTCTGTGTATATGACGACAGCTACTCCAGTGTTTTGCCATTGTTCTGTGTATATGACGACAGCTACTCCAGTGTTTGCCATTGTTCTGTGTATATGACGACAGCTACTTCAATGGTTTCCCATTGTTCTCGCTCTCATTTTCTTTGACATTGGAGGAGCACAACATCCCCATCACTTGTCTAATGTTTCATACGACAGAAGTCATCAGTTTAACCAGTAATGACGTTACAGGGCTTTTGAAAGGAATGCGTGATTGTTGTTGTTACTGATTAACACATGTGTCTTGAACTACAGTAGTTGAAGTGAGTGAGTGAGTTTTGCGATGCTTTTAACAGTATTCCAGCAATATCACGGCAGGGGACACCAGAAATGGGCTTCACGCATTGTACCCATGTCGGGAATCGAATCCGGGTCTTTGGCGTGACGAGTGAACACTTTAACCACTAGGTTACCTGGCTGCCCTTAGTTGGAGGTCTAATCAGGAATGAGTGAGTGTTGTTGTTGATGTCACATGTGTCTCATACTAGAGAAGTTAAGGGGTTTAGCCAGGAGTGAGTGAGTTTTGTGGTTGATATCACATGTGTCTCATGCTAGAGTAGGTTGGGACTAAGCCAGGAGTAAGTGAGTGAGTGTTGTTGTTGATATCAAATGTGTCTCGAACTGCAGTAGTTGGGGGTTTAGCCAGGAGTGAGTGTTGTTGTTGAAGGCACATGTGTCTTATGCTAGAGTAGTTAGAGGCTTAGCTAGGAGTAAGTGAGTGAGTGTTGTTGTTGATGTCAAATATGTCTCGAACTGCAGTAGTTGGGGGTAGTTCAATAGCAGATGTTCTGGTTTATTTACAATAAACCTAATCTGAATGTTGAGCAAGTCAAAGGAAAAGTGCAAACATCCTATACCGAGTTTCATACAGGTCACTCTGACATCGGCTAAACACAATGTGAAGTCATCTGGCCGAAATCAATACCTTCTTGAAACATCTGATGCTCATTAATGTTTCCACAAATAACTAATATACAATTAACTAAATCTTAAAACGGGTCAAGCTGACATGCACGTCGATTATACATGTATGACTCCTCTAACAGCTGTGTTAGTGTGGCGCTACAATCCCATGCTCCTTACAGCGCAGATATAGTTTCTTATTCTCTATACCTCCAACATGGGACAACTAAATGTTACAGCAGCAGAGTATTGATGAGTAGAGTAAGAGATGACCTTTTTATTATAGCATTCTGTACATAGAGGATTAATAACACAACCAGCCTCAACATACAAACTTTGTCTCAGAGAAGCTCTAAAGGCTCAAAAGCAAAGCCCCAGTCTCTGATGATGAATAGAATCTAGTTTTTTTAAACTCACGTTTACAACCTCCACCATATACGATGGAGATGTAATCCTGTTTAGAGCGCTCTGCAGTTGGAGGAGGGTTTTCTGATCCCCTCCCCGCTTTGAACCGGAAACGACTTTCAATAGTGCAAGTGGCTTCAGGCCTTTATTTTTTAAGTAATTAATGTGTGGAAGAAAGGTTTAATTTTTTATTCACCCTTTTCTTTCTTTTTTTTTTTTTTTGATATCTTTGACGTCATGAGGAAAGAAACTTACCTGATGTCCATATGTCATCAAAAATAACGAAAAGGGTTTCTAAACATGGGTCTGGTAAATGCTTCAGGAGTTGATAATTAGTTGAAACTATCAGGGTCTTTATAGTATGTTTCTTGTAAACATATTGCACTTGGTTTGATATCTTGAAGTTAGAGTTGTAAGTCATTATATTTATTCCTAAGCCCTCTACAGTTCCATTGTATTAGATTTGATGCTTGAGCCATGGTGGCTCAAATGGTAATCTCTCATGTGAACATGAGCACCAAAGCGGTTGTGGAGAAATAATCTCCGAGGACGAGGGTGTAATGGGCGTTTGATGGACATTTAATTTTTCTTTCACCTTTTTCTTTCTTTTTTTGATGGCTTTTGTTCTGCATTTGCTGGTGCGACATGAATTGTCTCAGTATCAGCCTGAGAGGGAGAATATGTTGATTCAGATTGATTGCCAGCTTTTTCTGACTGAGTGACAGACGAAGCTACGACAGGTTGATCAGACTTGACCCATGTCAACTCAGTCTGACACAGAACAGATGGAGAGGTTTTAGCAGATTTGGCTTCAGCAGAAGAAGAATTTAGAGTAAAAATAAGCTGCCTGGCGACGGCAAAGCTGATGTTTCGTTCTTGTTTAGTTTAAGAATTATGAATTCTGTTTGATAAACAGGGCAGAATTTGGAAGTGGCCATGTGTTGCCCATCACAGTTTGAATCTTGAGGACAATCTGCACTTTCATTGTCATCACCATAACGATGACAAACCATGGGGTGTGTGCAGGTTTTCGAACCTTGTCCACTTTTTTACATTTAAAACATCTGAGTGTATTGGGGACATACACCTCCACACCGACGTTGACATAACCAGCATTTATTTAACTGGGAACAGGTCAACGGACAAAAGTGAATAAATATATGTCCGTTGGAACAGTAGTTAATTTATCATCCTTTCTGGTAAAATGACTAAACTTGATTTTTGTCCCGGCAATAGTCCTCAAACATTCCACCAGAAGAGCTCCACTGCGCAGACGTGTCACATTTTAACCTCCCCACAATGGCCATGAGCAGATCTGGATATACTGAAAGGGTTCAAATTTGATTGGTTCATGATATGTAGCTTCGATCACAAGGAATCAACATGAGTATTAGCCTTATCAGACGAACTTTTTTCCCAATGTCTTCGTCTAGAAACAGAATGATTGTTAGCCATGGTGAGAGAGGGAGGGGGTTTTGGAGGGGTGGGGGATTGTAGGGGGAAGGTATATGTGAGACTTCATGTGTCATAGAGACCTGGGTGTCTGCTAAGGGTGGATCAAAAGTATATGTTATACAATGGACATATAGACCCTGGTTTTGGGGATGGGTAATAAGTAAGTTCTGCAGCGTGAGACAAACAGAAGTAATTTACGCACATTATTAATGTTAAGGGTTTGGATTGAGATTAGTTAATGTAAACAAGAAATCTTATATTTTTCAAGTTACTTCAACACGAGACTCTTGTGGCAACATACTTTGTATGAAACACGATACTCTGCTGAAGTTGCCCGCCTTATTTGCTGCTGTGGTACCACATGTATGCAAAGGAATTTTCTGTCAGAGCAATCCCGAGTTGGCTTTTTGTCAAACACGTGAGTCAGGCTAAGTTCGATGTTTATCCAGCACCAAGACAGTCTTCACATAACTGCGGTGAGGTGTACACCATCCCAACATGATGGAACTGACAAGTGTTGTATTTATCATTCTTGTGTCGTTGTGTGGTGTCAGAGACGTACATGCTGATACCAATTTGGCAGCCTTCTCTAGAAAATTAAACCTGCTGGACAGAACGATCCAGGCGTGGAAAGGCACAGTTGTTGATTTGGGGATTGAAATGAGTAACAACTTTGACTTGCTGGAGTTATCACTGGAAGAAGAACTGACTAACAAGTTCATCCCTGCCTTGATAAAGCCTCTCGTGAAGCAAGCGATTACTGGCATCCTGAAAGAAGAATACGTTTGCAATATTATCAGCGGACGTGTGCTTGATGTTGTTAACAGCCTGAAAACCAGAGTACATACAACAAAGACACAACTTCGCTCAGTTAAACGAAAGTTCAGACTAGTTAAACGCGAAAGAGACTCTTACAAAGAGAGTCTTGGCAAATTACGAGGCGAGCTGACCAAAGAAATCCATAGGGACATTCAGGGAATACAGCAAAGGGTAAGTGCAGACACTCACACACTTCACACATTCACCTATATCAGACCGTAAAGCCTGGTATTTTTTATCAGAACCAGTCTATTTAATAAGCAAGGTGCTCTATGCATTTTCATGAGCCTGTGTGTATTTGTTATCTATCACCTGTTGTTGTCAATGTTAATCTGCTGCTTATCACACCATGGAATGCATATATATATATATATATCTCATCGCTTGGTTGTTGTCACTCCAGCTTGATAACGGTGTTAGAATCTACATTGAAACGTCGCTATATACAATAATCCAGAAGTTGTTATCCATAAATGTGTACGTTTACCATCTCGAATGATAAATAATTCCATATAAGGTAGTGCGTATTACGATGGAGCCATGACTCACACCGACAGGAATGTTTTTAGTAGCAATGCATATGGTGTTGATGTAATGAAGCAAAGAAATTGTCGACTGTTTGGGAAACAGGTTTGGAAAGCAGCAGCTTGCCTGGCTAAATTCCAAGTACTCTCAGGTTTGGTGTCAGTTCACAAGCCCCCAGACATTCAACAGGCTATTTAGCCGAGCCATTACATGCCTTAAGATCATGCCGTTTTACCTTTCATTTGAAACCATGGAAAAATAGAGTTAGCCGTCTATATGGCATTAACACTGTAAATATACCCCCCCCCCAAAAAAAAAAAACCGCACAGGTGAACTATAAATGTTAAATTTAGTTAATGTAAATTGAAACAATGAAATAATTGTTTTCCACCGCAAATCACCCATGTTTTAGGTCCCCAATCGTAACCAATCACCAAAACACCTCACCAGATGAAACATTAACCCTAACCCTAACGTCAACATAGGGTTTACAGGGCATATCAATATATGGTTTACTGGGCATGTCAACATAGGGTTTACAGGGCATATCAATATAGGGTTTACTGGGCATGTCGACATAGGGTTTACTGGGCATATCAAACTAGGGTTTACTGAGCATATCAACAAAGGATTTACTTGGCATGTCAACATAGGGTTTACTGGGCATGTCAACATGTGTTTGTTTTTTTGTTCATATCGATATTGGATTTACTGGGCATGTCGACATAGGGTTTACTGGGCATGTAAACATAGGATTTACAGGGCATGTAAGCATAGGGTTTACAGGGCATGTCAACATAGGGTTTACTGGGCATGTCAACATAGTATTTACTGGGCATGTCAACATAGGGCTTACTGGGCATGTCGACACAGGGTTTACTGGTCATCTCAACATAGGGTTGATTGGCATGTCAACATAGGGTTTACTGGGCATTTCAACATGGTATTTGCTGGGCATGTCGACATAGGGTTTACTGGGCATGTCGACGTAGTATTTGCTGGGCATGTCGACATAGTATTTGCTGGGCATGCCAACATAGGGTTTACTGGGCATATCAACATAGTATTTACTGGGCATGTCAACATAGGGTTTACTGGGCATGTCAACATGTGTTTGTTTTTTTTGTTCATATCGATATTGGATTTACTGGGCATGTCGACATAGGGTTTACTGGGCACGTAAACATAGGATTTACAGGGCATGTAAGCATAGGGTTTACAGGGCATGTAAACATAGGGTTTACTTGGCATGTCAACATAGGGTTTACTGGGCATGTCAACATAGTATTTACTGGGCATGTCAACATAGGGTTTACTGGGCATGTCGACACAGGGTTTACTGGGCATGTCAACATAGGGCTTACTTGGCATGCCAACATAGGGTTTACTGGGCATTTCAACATGGTATTTACTTGGCATGTCAACACAGGGTTTACTGGGCATGTCAACATGTGTTTTTTGTTGTTGTTCATATCGATATTGGATTTACTGGGCATGTCAACACAGGGTTTACTGGGCATGTCAACATAGGGTTTACTGGACATCTCAACATAGGGTTTAATGGACATCTCAACATAGGTTTGATTAGCATGTCAACATAGGGTTTACTGGGCATGTCAACACAGGGTTTACTGGACATCTCAACATAGGGTTTAATGGACATCTCAACATAGGGTTGATTGGCATGTCAACACAGGGTTTACTGGGCATGTCAACATAGGGTTTACTGGACATCTCAACATAGGGTTCACTGGACATCTCAACATAGGGTTGATTGGCATGTCAACATAGGGTTTACTGGGCATGTCAACACAGGGTTTACTGGACATCTCAACATAGGGTTTACTTGACGTCTCAACATAGGGTTTACTGGACATCTCAACACAGGGTTTACTGGGCATCTCAACACAGGGTTTACTGGACATGTCAACACAGGGTTTACTGGACATCTCAACATAGGGTTTACTTGACGTCTCAACATAGGGTTTACTGGACATCTCAACATAGGGTTTACTGGGCATGGCAACACAGGGTTTACTGGACATCTCAACACAGGGTTTACTGGGCATCTCAACACAGGGTTTACTGGACATCTCAACACAGGGTTTACTGGGCATCTCAACACAGGGTTTACTGGGCATGTCAACATAGGGTTTACTGGGCATGTCAACAAAGGGTTTACTGGACATCTCAACATAGGGTTGATTGGCATGTCAACATAGGGTTTACTGGGCATGTCAACATAGGGTTTACTGGACATCTCAACATAGCATTTACTGGGCATGTCAACATAGGGTTTACTGGGCATGTCGACATAGGGTTTACTGGACATCTCAACATAGGGTTGATTGGCTTACAAACAATTTGTTCCCTGTCTGCGCCGGCCAAATCATTCAATAAAATAATCGAGAGTGTTTCAACATAACCACTGTTTAGTGTCGATGCCAGATTAGAACAATTAGTTAAACCAGAAATGTATACGCAAAAGTACTCAGTGTCAAGCCAGCACATAACAAAGAAATGTGCCATTCACAATTTCTACAGGAAACATTACTTGGCTTACAAATCTATAAAATACTGCCAAATAATTAGAATGACAATACACTATATGGTGGTAGTACACAATTCAATGGCAGTACAAAAATATCAAATTAATAGCAATGGTAATAGCAATAAAGTCAGAGATAATAAAGATTCCAGATTGTACTTGTACCCCAGAGAATCAACGTACAGTAACTTCCACATCACTGCTTACATTATCTAGTAATACATTCCTGACAACGGTTTATCACTAAAACACAATGTCATGAATTTCCACTGAATCCTTACATAAACAATGTAATCCATTACAACATTGCCATGTTACAAAACCAATTAGAGACCTGGCATCACCGTTAGCAATGGCTATTTTAACACTATATGAATTGAAAGCATGGATCTATAAGGTGAATAATCCTGTATATACACAAACTGTCAGATAAACAGTGATGTATATACTCAAACTATCAGTTTATACTCCTGTATATACTCAAGCTGTCAGGTAAATACTCCTGTATATACTCAACCTGTCACGTAAATAGTCCTGTATATACTCAAACTGTCAGGTAAATACTCCTGTATATACTCAATCTGTCAGGTAAATACTCCTGTATATATTCAACCTGTCACGTAAATAGTCCTGTATATTAACAAATTGTCAGGTAAAGACTCCTGTATATACTCAACCCGTCACGTAAATAGTCCTGTATATACTCAAACTGTCAGATAAATAGTCCTGTATATTCACAAACTGTCAGGTAAAGACTCCTGTATATACTCAACCTGTCACGTAAATAGTCCTGAGTATACTCAAAATCAGGTAAATACTCCTGTATATTCACAAACTGTCAGGAAAATACCCCTGTATATACTCAACCTGTCACGTAAATAGTCCTGTATATACTCAAACTGTCAGGTAAATACTCCTGTATATTCACAAACTGTCAGGTAAATAATCCTGTATATACACAAACTGTCAGGTAAAGACTCCTGTATATACTCAATCTGTCAGATAAATAGTCCTGTATATTCACAAACTGTCAGGTAAAGACTCCTGTATATACTCAACCTGTCACGTATATAGTCCTGTATATACTCAAAATCAGGTAAATACTCCTGTATATTCACAAAATGTCAGGTAAATACTCCTGTATATACACAAACTGTCAGGTAAAGACTCCTGTATATACTCAATCTGTCAGGTAAATACTCCTGTATATTCAAAAACTGTCAGGAAAATACTCCTGTATATACTCAAACTGTCAGGAAAATACTCCAGTATATTCTTGTACTCAACCTAAAACTCAGGTTGCTTTTTTTTTTTTATCTTTTAAAACTTCGAATTTTGCAAACGTTGTGACTAACTTTCGCTTGCCATGGTGACCACGCCCAATGACATAATGGACCGTTGTCCCAGTTTTGCGGGGGTGGTCTGGTAGCCTAGTGGTTTAAGCGTTCGCTCGTCACGCCGAAGAACCGGGTTCTATTCCTGACATGAGTACAATGTGTGAAGCCCATTTGTGATGTCCCCCGCCGTGATATTGCTGGAATATTGCAAAAAGCAGCGTAAAACCTCACTCACTCCCAGGTTTGCTCATTTCGTTCTAATATTTGTGTTTTTAGCATGATTAGTTTATGAGTGTGTTGATCAAATGATCCACCAGACTAAATTTAAATTTCATCATTACAGATACAGGAACTCGAGGAACGTGATGCGCTGCGTGAGAAACACATCCAAGACTTGACGGAACAAAAACAAAAAGGTTGGATTTCTATAACCTGTTGGGAACATTGAAAACTGTCTTTATCATGAGCATGTGATGATACCAGGTGTTTGCGAAAAGGGGAGTCAAATGCGGGAATTTCGTCGGACATCATTTTTGTCACTGACGCGTCAAATTTTGATATGTCCTCCATATATTTACCATAAAGCTTTTGAAAGCTTCACTGAGGCCTTGAGTGTTGTAACCTTGATTAAACAACGACTGAGCAAGAGTCAGATGATGGTCTTTGAAATCTTGGCAAAAAGAGCGTGCTTGATTGTACCTCAAAAGTGGTGAAATATAAACACCAAAGGCTGGAGTTGATGGAATGCAGACTTGATACACCAGCCATGTGTTTCTAATGGCAGCGGGAAGCGTCATTAATGCGTCTAACACTGTACAGTAGACATGATACACCAGCCCTGTGTTTCTAATGGCAGCGGGAAGCGTCTTTAATGCGTCTAACACTGTACAGTAGACATGATACACCAGCCATGTGTTTCTAATGGCAGCGGGAAGCGTCATTAATGCGTCTAACACTGTACAGTAGACATGATACACCAGCCCTGTGTTTCTAATGGCAGCGGGAAGCGTCATTAATGCGTCTAACACTGTACAGTAGACATGATACACCAGCCATGTGTTTCTAATGGCAGCGGGAAGCGTCATTAATGCGTCTAACACTGTACAGTAGACATGATACACCAGCCCTGTGTTTCTAATGGCAGCGGGAAGCGTCATTAATGCGTCTAACACTGTACAGTAGACATGATACACCAGCCCTGTATTTCTAATATCAGCGAGAAGCGTCATTAATGCTTCTAACACTGTGCAGTAGACATGATACATCAGCCCTGTGTTTCTAATGGCAGCGAGAAGCGTCATTAATGCTTCTAACACTGTACAGTAGACATAATACACCAGCCCTGTGTTTCTAATGGCAGCGAGAAGCGTCATTAATGCGTCTAACACTGTACAGTAGACATGATACACCAGCCCTGTGTTTCTAATGTCATTCACATATTTTTTACCGCTATTTTGCCCTCTATACAAACTGGAATCTGTTTCGGCGGATAATCTAGATTGGTTATTTTCTTGCATTGAAAATTTATATATTTGAAGCCACGATTCTAGTTTCATCACTTGGTCTTTCCTCGTTCAGCTCGATCGTTCGTTCGTGTAAATGTTGAAAAACACAAAGTAAAAGCATGATCTATAGTATACATTGACAGGTGGTTCCTTGGAATGGCCGTTGTCCCGTGGATAATCATGATAAAGACACAATAGTTTTGTTTTCGTGCTAAATAGGCAAGGCCTAGTTGCATGGAATGTTGGCTGCCTTTTACATTTGGCGTTGATTTGGTTGGCCAGTAATATAGACATTTGTCTACATCTTTAAAAGGGACCGAATATTGAAGCATAAATGAAAATATTATCAATTGATTATTAATCTGACCTTAGTGTGATGAAGGTGCCTGACATATATGTGAAAGGCATCTGTGTATGACACGCGAAGCTAGTGAGTGAGTTGGTATGGTTTCAGCACTATTCTAGCAATATCATGGCGGGACGCGCGAAGTAACACGAATCTGTGACAAGACGTGGACGGAAATTGAACAGCATGACTATACATATTGAAACAATGCCATCTTTCTGAGTTCCTTTTTAAAACAGCTCGTCGTCCTGATTGAATTGCCAGAGGGTTTTCTAAAGCTCTGTAGATATAGCTAAGTATTCTGATAATTGGTATATAGCATGTATAGCGACCGTGTCGTCATGCATACCAACACCTGTATAGCTGGCTTACCTACGAAGAGACAAAGCAGAATATTACTGACTCTTTTAAGAAAGTCCAGTTGAGTAACATAAAGTCCCGTAAAAATAGTTATCTTATTTATACAAAGGGACAGACAGACAGACAGACAGACAAGAAAAAAATCTTTTTCATTTCGGACAGACGGACAGACGGACAGACTGACAGACAGACAGACAGACAGAGGGGGAAACAGACACGAAATAATCATTTCCGTCTCCGGCAACTTTTCAAATTGATGAGTAGGCACGGTTAACCAAGTCGTTTTCGGCGGCGGAATTCGCAGTGCAGAGTTGCGTCCCCTAGGCGTGCCAGAACACTATAATCGTGGGTTCGAATCCCAGCACCATGCCACACCGTCGTATAACCGAAATAATGTTAAAAGTTACGCGAAATAGTAGTCCTTCAGGATAACCTTTTTGACGATTCTTTATCGATAAATTAAAGATTATATTTCCTAGTAATGTTTGGATGATGTTTATATGCTTACTACATCAAACTTCCTATAACCAACGACCCACAGATTTAGCTCCCTCTGTACGGACTTCAGCATGTATGTTGTGACTGAGTAAAATGCCTGGGCGCATTCATCTACAATCAAATTTCATGTTCAGTAAATATTTTGAAAATAAGCAATAAGAAATAAAACAGCGACGAAAGGACACTTCATCACTATGTCAGAAATGTTTAACAAATTCAACATTCAAAATGGTGGCTACCGTCGCGATATCTTCGATGCTGTGTTTGCTTGTGATAAGGTTGAGTAACTGGTCAGTAGTTCTGGTAATTTTCCGATCAAAACACAAACATGAGTTCATGGTCTGATGTTTTTTAACGAAATATGTTCCCGTGGTAAAGTGAGAAGTGCAGGCTTACAGTCAACAGATCGAGTCATTACAGTCAATAGATCGAGTCGTTAAGTCAATAGATCGAGTCGTTACAGTCAATAGATCGAGTCGTTACAGTCAATAGATCGAGTCGTTACAGTCAATAGACCGAGTCGTTACAGGCAATAGATCGAGTCGTTACAGTCAATAGATCGAGTCATTACAGTCAATAGATCGAATCGTTACAGTCAATTGATCGAGTCATTACAGTCAATAGATCGAGTCGTTACAGTCAATAGATCGAGTCATTACAGTTGTCAACGTGCATGTTGACGGGGAATTAGCTCTTGGGGGAATAAAGGACAAAATCGACATCACTGTCCCGGAACGCTTTATGCACAACATGTAAACAATAAACAACAATTGCACAATGAGCGGAATACCTGCTCTGACAACACAAACACAGCAATGAGCGGACTTTCCAGCTCAGGCGTACAAGAGGTGTGTGGAGCTCCAGCTCACCTCAGGGCGTTTCCTACGAGCAGCATATCCTGCTCGAGGTCGTCCCTATGCCAGCACTCGGAATACCAAGCCTGACTACCACCGTAGTAACTGTGTAATGGTAGCACATATATAGTAATGAACAACAATGGACAGACAAAGAGACAACGACGTTGCTTTGGACATTGGACATATGGGCGTGATTAACAAACACAGTTCATGGGATGATCAATTAGGGCAATAAATGCCATACTATAAAAAGCAGTAGTTAAAGGGAAGTGATATGGTAGTCCAGGCTGACTGACAGTCAAAATACAATGAAATGTTGGTGAGGATTAACAACGGGGATTAGCGCCTAAAACGTAATGACAATTAAGTTATGGAGACATGGCTACAGGGTAATTTGCCCTTGAAGTCAAATGTACTGCAGACAATGGTAGTCATAAATCAGTCGCTTTGACACAGTCAATAGATCGAGTCATTACAGTCAATTGATCGAGTCATTACAGTCAATAGATCGAGTAATTACATCAATAGATCGAGTCGTTACAGTCAATAGATCGAATCGTTACAGTCAAAAGATCGAATCGTTACAGTCAATAGATCGAGTCGAACCTTGCTCACTCCAGTTGCCCATTCGATGACGAGCCTGTCCTGTCCTGTTAATGGTGTAGTCATTGATGGACTGAAGCTAAGTAAAGTTGATGTGAGTATAAAACCTTGCGTTTACACTCATAAAATGCTAGTATGAGTGTGTGCTGGCACATGAATGTCTAGGAAGGTACTTAGGATCAATGGTCGTCGGACCCCCCTTCCCTCCAGGACTTAGCGAGGCTCTCTCTTTAACTGAGAAACAGGGAAACGTAGACGTGGTGATTGTGCACGTCACACCTTTCCAATTGTCTTTTTTTGGTACAATAAAGGTTTTCACTGCAGTGGCCGTATTTCCGCCATTCTGATTCTGTTTTAGAATTAACATTTTTAACCGAATCACTAAGGTCATCAGATTTCTCTATTGCCGAAAAAAGATTTCTGAACAGTAGCTGACGACGAAACGAGTCACGAGACAGCCACGAGATTTTCCCGCACTGGATTTTGCAAGGAGCGGTATGTTTGATAGTGAACGACGACGCAACATTTCACCCACGGCACTGAAGCTATACGTAATTGCCAAATGCGTGGACGTATCCGTGGCAATATGGCCACCAGTTGTATGTGAGCGACGGGGATAGCGGAATACAATGTGCGTGTTTACTGGTATGGTAAAAGCCGATGGCGCTGTTGAGAATGTTTCTTTTTAATATCTCACACGTCTATCTGGAAAAAAAAATAGGTAATGGAACTTGCATCTACGCATACCCCAAAACGTTAAAAGATGGTACTTGTTGTTACCTTGCCTGTTGTTAAATTATCTTAAAACGTCATTTAATCACACTTTTGAGTTTTAGTTAAGAAATAAAGTTTGCGCTTGTGTAATAAACTATAATGTTGCCCTGAACTATTATAGCTAAAGCACGAGGACGCTTGCTTTGCTTTGACATTATAATAGTTCAGAGCAAAACTATACTTTATTACACTACACATGCGGTCAGAGCAAACATTATAACTTTTCTAAGATTGCGAATTTAAAAATACTCAATCTTTTTCTTGGAGATGGGTTTAAAATCGAATCTGTATCAACATGCCGTAAATGGAAAAACCTCGAACAGGCTAACTGACGGGCTGGTCCACTTGATTGCCTGTATACCCCTTAAGCTGATAGACATATTTACGTTTAAAATATAATACAACATGACTAAAATGTTTAGTTTATTATAATAGGTCCCATTTTCTTATCCGTTCAGTGTGTGTATATTTAAAAAAAAACATGCAGCAAAACAAAGGATTTTTGAAATTTATTTTTTCATATTAAATTACTTAAATTTAATCACGTGAACATTCCACAAATGTATTGTGGGGCCGAGCTTACATGTAAACATAGCCGAAATTCCGTGTCGCTGGTTATTGTGAGTTAAGGTGTTTTCTGTTGTACAAGTTGCAGCAACTTAAGCCATGAAATAGTGTGTTTGAGGGGCTTGCGCTACATGTTACGGTACCCGACGGGGATCGACGGCCTGGGGTGAGATATGTCGTCGCCGTGAGACGACCATGGCGGGTGAAGAGCAACAGTGGCCGGTTTGTTTGACTGCTGTCTATTGTTCAATGCCGTACGCTGAGCAACAGCACGGTGCACATGTGATTTGGAAACTTTTCTAGGATTACTCATTCCTTTGTCCTGATTGTGATTGTATGTTGTTTAACGCCACACTCAGTAATATTCAAGCTATATGACGGCGGTCTGTAAATAATTGAAACTGGACCAGACACTCCAGTAATTAATATCATGTACATCGATCTACACAATTGGGATCGATGACATGCATCAACCAAGTAAATGAGCCTGACCACCCGATCCCGTTGGTCGCTTCTTACGACAAGCATAGTCGCCTTTTACAGCAAGCAGGGGTTGCTGAAGACCCATTCTACCCCGGATCTACACGGGTTTATTGATTTATTGACTGCAAGCCTGCACTTCTTACCACAGGAACATATTTTTAAACTGGTTGAGCCCGATGTGCCTGTCCCTTATTCTACTCCAAATCTTCACGCGGGCACAATGCTTTGTCGTAGGTTAAGTATAATCGGTGCCATTGATCTTTTAGCGAAGCATCTTAGAATAAAATATAGACATATTTTACGCATGATGATGAGGTACATTTCTTTAACCAATGAAGTAGGCTTAAGTTTTTACCTCAGCATGCAATCTGAAACGCAATAAGGTAAGACTGTAGTAAGACTTGTATCACTCCACACTGTATTATTTAACAGTGATTGGCACTAGCAGCCGAGCGCCAAACCAAACCATGCTCCTAATCAGACACGTCACAGTGACGTCATAGCTCGCCCCAAGGCGTTTCTTGACTGGCAGTGAGATGTGTCACTCGTGTTAGGACGTAAACGGTGGGTAAGTTTTCAGTTTGTACTTCAGAATGTTTTTAGGAAATTAAATGAAACAGACATTGTAAATATTGTAAGATTGATGTACAATAGAATACATTTTGAAGGAATCAGGTGCTTCACACAATGTTTACACCCAGACGTTTGTTTAGCCTGTCACCAGGGATAAACAAACGTCTGGATGTACACATTCATACCTCGTTTCTACTGAAAAGCTTTTTTAATACGTATATTGCAAAATATATGGTTGTAAGTTTCATCCCCTGAACTAATAACACTTATTACAACTGAGACTGAAGACTAGATCGATATGAGATTTTTTCTAAATCTGTTCAGTCAAGTGTCGGCTATTCTTTTTCGCTCATATTTTTTAAAACGTTGTTCTACATCATAAAATGGCAGAAATCTACTGAAATACATCCCCACTACAGACCAGGGCCAAATGTGTCAGCCTTATTATTTTTACACTCAGCTTTGTTCTTCTAATCCGGAATATCTTATGTGGAACAAATGTATTTTTGCAGGGCACTAACATTGTTTTTTGAAGGATGGCAAGGAAATGTAGACTACATAAGGGCAAAATCTCATTATTTTATGACTAAGTTAGAACAGACGTTAAATGCGAAAACAATTTGGCGCATGTCACACGGGCAATCGGCATTTCAATCTTATCACTAAATAGGACCAGGTGTATATTCCCTTCTTCACACAACCAAACACCGTACCAAACATCTTGTCGTACCGGCTACAGTTTCTGCCACAGATAGTAAGCTGATCTGTGATGGGTGTACTGCCGCCATCGCTCGGAATGCTGAATTATGACAGGGCTGCAAAGAGTTTTCCTGACACTGAATTACCACTGTGTTGTACACGCGCTTAGTCAAGTAGACCTGTTGCTCTTTTACATTCATTGTATATCATCATGAAAATGTCATCACTGAAATAGTTATCTGTAGCATGTCGTATATCGACGTTTGTAATACTCTATAGCAAGAGACGAGGTAAAATGCAGCAGTTTCTGTATCTAGTAAAGAGTGTTTGTATGGGAGAGGGGGGGGACTAAAACATCGAGCAAAGTCACTTAGAACAACAAATAATTTACGATAGGTCGCAGCACTCTACATTTAGTAGCCTGTTATCATCAATTGACAAAGGCAGTATGCAGACAGAGAAGCCATCAAGACAGTTGTCGATTTGACGATATAAAAATTGTGTGAACTGTCCATTGTCCTCAGACGTTGAAATGGACGAGAAATATATGTTCCTCCAGAATTACACTGGTGGACGTCATATCCTGGTCAAAATATATATACCGATGTACATTGATTCTCAGTGACAACAAACACCTGAGAATAATTCAAATACACAGGAATAACATAGAAGGCAATGACAATTAGAAAACAGTGTTCAGCATTTCACCTGTATGTACTAGATCTATCCAGTTTTGTTATTCATAGTATTGATCATCAAATACAGTTCTAGATATCATGCAACAACGAAATAACGGACCAACTTGCGGGCGTCAATGCATTGTCATTACAAATCTTCCTACAATCAAGGAAGTCAGACTAAAATACTAATCATTCCATAATTGGGAATAAAGAGTAGGTAGCTGATGTAATACCCTCATCGAATGTTCCAATATAATAAATGCACATATTCTGTGTTTCAGTTTATTTGAGACCCGGTCTCTTCTGTGTACAGCAATATAAACTAACATGTTTAGTCCTAAGTCCTTATAATGGGAACATATAAAACCCTTAAAATAGCATATGTTTACGAGCCTAGTCATTATGATATCTGAACTATTGGGATGTTTGGCAAGGACTATAGGACGAGTGCCAATTTCTATCGCTGGTGTGGTATTGTTCATTTATGATGGATGTTGTATTACATTCAGTTCCTGCAACATTTCAAGCAAGGGAAAACCCGGGATCGATTCCCCCACATGGGTACAATGTGTGAAGACCATGTCTTGTGTTCCCCGCCCAGATATTGCTGGAATATTGCCAAGAGCGTGTAAAACCCAACTCACACAACCCAACCGAACAGCATATTTTGTGTTTCAGCAAGTCAACAATTGGCAGCAGCACCGTAAGTTTCAATCCAACAAGCGTGTACAGGCGCGGCTCAGATATACATCAATCTCAATGTGTGTGTTGTATATTTATCGTTTGAGTGATTTGTTAGTCGCTAGACTACCTTATAGTTATACCTCTACGAAGATAAATGGTTTTCAAATTGTATTCATCAGTCAAAAATTTAAATACATAAACTTTGTCGAAGATCTTGTATGTCTAATGCTTATGTGGTCTGTATTGTTTTCTGAACAGCATGTTCTGTGTTTCAGCCTCGAGCGACCCGAGTCGGACCGCAAGGACACCAACTACTATTTGACCACTTTTTAAATGGTATTGTGCATTCATATAGCATATTTTGTGTTTCAGCCACCAGTGCCCCCAGTCGGAACAGGAGCCACAGAGAAAGGGCTGAACAGATAACAGTGACAAGGTCTGATCTACATGGTAGGTAGGAGAACCCAGCAGGTGGTAGATAGTGTCACTGTCCAACTGTACGAGATGAGGTCACATCAACATGTATCAAATATAAGCCAGAAAGTTCACTCCACAAACCTTCATGTGAACAGTCTCTACAATAACAAGCTGATAAATGTAATCTTTTATTATCCTATTAATTTGAAACAAGTCAACAATTTATTGACAGTGCCGCTATAAGGCTCAATCCAACAAGCGTGAACAGACGCGCGGCTCAGATGAACAGCAATCTCAGTGTTTGTGTTGTATATTAAGATAGTCGTTTGAGTGATTTGTTAGTTTCTAAACTACCTTATATGTTTACCTCTACTAAGATAAATTGAAAGATGAATTCTATTCATCAGTCAACATATCAAATGCATAAAATTTGTAGAATGGCCTTATTTTGTATGGATAATGCTTATGTGCTTTGTATAGTTTTCTGAACAGCATGTTCTGTTTTCAGCCTCGAGTGATTCGAGTCGGACTGAGAGGACACCAGTGACGACCACAAAAAAACCTGCTACACAGGGTAGGTTGGAGAACCCAGCAGGCAGAAAGCTCACACTTTAATCCCTCCAACAATGAACAAGCTTGGGCATAGACCCGTGTTGGATCTGACTTCGTAGTTGTCAGTTGTGTAGATTGGTGCTCATGTTATCAATCACTGGACTGTCTGTATCAGACCCCGCCATCTTATTGCTGGACTACTGCTGAGTGCGGCATAAAACAAAAACAAACAGGCTGACATAAACCAATGTCATGTCTTAATATCCTCACATTTCCAAACAGCAACTGTACTGACAGTATTATCTTATAAAGCTCACTTCATCAACTCTCCAGCCATACACAGAATAATGTTACAACTACTGGATGTATCAGAAATATTTTAAACATTGAATACATAATCCTTGATTTCATGAACCAGCTGCCGCCCTTCCCCTTGATCGTTGTATTGTCAACCATGTTGAAAGTTTTTGATGTCGTTTCCTGTCACCATTTTGAGACGTGAGCACAGTAGATGTATGACGATGATGTCTGGATGTGTACAGAGTTTACTTTGTGTTACAGCGACTCCATCACCAGCAGACTGCGACGTCCTCATGGACGCCAGCAGAAGGGGGAACCTGGAGGAGATGAAGCGGCTCCTGACTCTGAATGTCGACGTCAACTGTAGGGACAGTAATAGCAGGACACCGGTGATGTGGGCAGCAGGGTTTGGACACGGAGAAGTGGTGGAGCTCCTGGTGAGGAAAGGAGCCGATGTGTCACTGGTGGACGAGGGCGGTAGCAGCATTCTTCACTTCGCCTGTTATGCAGGAGACATGGAGATGGTTAAGTTTGTGCTGTCACTGAACGTCTTCGACATCGAAAGTAGAGGAGCGTTGAGCAGGACACCGGTGATGTATGCAGCAAGGTGGGGACACAGAGACGTGTTGGAGCTCCTGGTGAGTATAGGAGCCGATGTGTCACTGGTGGACGATGACGGTGACAACATCCTTCACCTCGTCGGTTGGGGAGGAGACATCGAGACGGCAAAGTTTGTGCTGTCACTGAACGTTGTGGACATCGACGCCAGGAACAACGACGGGCGGACAGCGGCGGACGTGGCGAGATCCGGGAGACGTCGGCAAATTGCGGATCTGCTGGAGTCCCGCGGCGCTCAGTGACGTCAGTGCCGTGTTTGTGTAGACGGTGAAGAAGACCTGGCAGTGACGTGGTGTGCCGTTCACGTCATCGTGTGTCTTTATTTACGTGAAACTGTTTGTTGTTTTAGGGGATGAATAAAACTTGTAAAAGCTTTTTCAGACATGTTCTCATTTGTTGTGTTCGGATCAGGTAAGAAAATTGTTAACTTGATTGTTAAGATGATGTGTGATTGGTATGTCAGCACCGCACCTCGCGATATGTCCATGCATGTCGTTATATATGTCTGTGTTAATTTAACGTCCTAAGTTTGTACTTAATCGTCAATCAGACAACAGACTGTTTGTTTACATCTTGCTACAATTTAACATTTGAAACCTCACGCTGCGCGTACGGTTCCAAATTTAATTGAGCGCGGTTTAATCTACAGGTAACCTAGCTCTACATTAAAAACACAGTTTGTTTATTCCCATTCTACCATGACTAAATAAACAAAACCAGTGTTTTGAGTGGGTTATCGATCTGAATTACGGAATCACCGAACAAAATATGGCGCTGTATATACTCAAGCAGTTTGTTTACACCGTATAATACTTCACTCGAACATATGACAGGCATTGAATGCACATAAGCACGGCAACATGGTAAGCTAACATGAGGTGGGCGTCCCTAAAGAAAAACAAAGAAAGCTTTGCAAGGCGTTCGCTCTACATCTCGCGTCAGCATTATGACGTCATGTCGCTCAATGTGAAATGTGTGAAATGTAAACAAAGCAAAATACAGATTTTACACAGTGTAGCATTTTCTCCTATTTTGAGCTATCCTTTCGTCTATTTGTTGCTTACATTGGCTCAACATTTTCAGAATACACATGAGTAGGCAATCGTAGGAAGAATTAGGGAATTAAAAAAAACACAAAGCAATGGTTTGGTGAACTGAACAAAAATGGTCTTCGTTTCCGTCCTCTGTCACGCACATCGACAGCGAAATTTTGACGTCAGTTTTCGACATTTACTGCAGGCTATTTTAAGTAGTGAATGTATAGCATTATACATAAGCATATACATCCATTTCATATATATTTATGTTGTTCAGATATTTGGCAGAATTCGTTCTCTCACAGCTACTATATAAAAAAGAAATCGTCGCACAGTACTTCTGTTGGTGTACGATACAAAGCGGCGAAATTTGTTGTTTTTCAACGGAGAATAAATTCTTGGACAACACTTCCGGGCGGACGTTCTACCATTGGATCACGGTGGCTGTCCATGACGCAAAGTATACAATAACTCGTAATTGTTCAGAGGTTTCAAATGAAAATAACATATATCTTATATTACCGATTCTTGTGTGGTTGTAATGCTTTAATCTCTACATTTAACCCTTGTCCGTGTGCTCTTGTTCTATTCAGCAAACAGTTCAACATATCAGATAACACTGACACAGCCTAGCTTTAGCAGGATTCTCCGTGACTAACACTTAGTCGATTCAAAAGAACCTTTCCTCTTCTGGTGTTTTCATATGTGGAATCAAGGAAACTGGACTAGACAAGGTTTAGTTGATACAGACCTGCCTAGGCTTTTATTGAAGATATATATAAACATTGTCCGTTGGATTTTATTTTGAAGATACATATTTGTATCTACCTCAATTTTATTTCGGGGACTAAATGTGTGTCTTCTGACACTGGAACTGCCAAATAAGAATATCACATTATTGTCCATTGTCCGAAGTCAATTCATCGTTGATGCCGTGCCATTCTATCGCCCATTTATTATAGTCAATTTGACTGGAATGTACATTACTCCCAGACAGGATAGGGAAGTGCCAAGTTTCAAATGTTTCGATGTCAGCAATATCCCAGTGATATGACAGCGGTATCTACATTATTTCAGTGACGTGTACATGATCACGCACCTACTGATATCCAATACAATCGTTCTATTCTATCGGGAAATTAATTGAATCAGCGGTGACATGTGATAATAATTTGCCATCTATATCTTTCTTGGTTGGTCTATCAATATTTTATCTCACAAAGGTGGGAACAGTGTCCCGCATACATACAGGCTACACACATATATATCTCACAAAGGTAAGAACAGTGTCCCGCATACACAGAGGCTACAAAAATATATCTCACAGAGGTGGAAACAGTGTCCCGCATACATACAGGCTACACACATAGATCTCACAGAGGTAAGAACAGTGTCCCGCATACATACAGGCTACACACATAGATCTCACAGAGGTGAGAACAGTGTCCCGCATACATGCAGGCTACACACATATATCTCACAAAGGTGGGAACAGTGTCCCGCATACATACAGGCTAAACACATATATCTCACAAAGGTGAGAACAGTGTCCCGCATACATACAGGCTACAAATACATATCTCAGAAAGGTGGGAACAGTGTCCCGAACACATACAGGCTACACACATATATCTCACAAAGGTGGAAACAGTGTCCCGCATACATACAGGCTACACACATAGATCTCACAGAGGTGAGAACAGTGTCCCGCATACATACAGGCTACACACATATATCTCACAAAGGTGGAAACAGTGTCCCGCATACATACAGGCTACACACATAGATCTCACAAAGGTGAGAACAGTGTCCCGGATATATACAGGCTACAAACATAAATCGCACAAAGGTGAGAACAGTGTCCCACACACATACAGGCCACGAAGCATATATCTCACAATGGTGAAAACAGTGTCCTGCACACATACAGTCTACACACATATATCTCACAAAGGTTGGAACAGTGTCCCGCATACACAGAGGCTACAAACATATATCTCACAAAGGTGATAACAGCATCCCGAATACATACAGGCTACACACATAGATCTTACAAAGGTGAGAACAGTGTCCAGCATACATACAGGCTACACACACATATCTCACAAAGGTGACAACAGTGTCCCACACACATACAGGCCACGAAGCATATATCTCACAATGGTGAAAACAGTGTCCCGCACACATACAGTCTACACACATATATCTCACAAAGGTTGGAACAGTGTCCCGCATACATACAGGCTACACACATATATCTCACAAAGGTGGGAACATTGTTCCGCATACATACAGGCTACACACATATAACTCACAAAGGTGGGAACATTGTTCCGCATACACAGAGGCTACAAACATATATCACACAAAGGTGAGAACAGCATCCCGAATACATACAGGCTCCACACATAGATCTCACAAAGGTGAGAACAGTGTCCCGCATACATACAGGCTACACACATATATCTCACAAAGGTGACAACAGTGTCCCACACACATACAGGCCACGAAGCATATATCTCACAATGGTGAAAACAGTGTCCCGCACACATACAGTCTACACACATATATCTCACAAAGGTTGGAACAGTGTCCCGCATACATAGAGGCTTCAAACATATATCTCACAAAGGTTAGAACAGTGTCACGCACACATACAGGCTACACACATATATCTCACAAAGGTGGGAATAGTGTCCCGCGCACATACAGTCTACACACACATATCTCACAAAGGGGGAAACATTGTTCCGCATACATACAGGCTACACACACATATATCTCACCAAGGTGGGAACATTGTTCCGCATACATACAGGCTACACACACATATATCTCACAAAGGGGGAAACATTGTTCCGCATACATACAGGCTACACACATATATCTCACAAAGGTGGGAACATTGTTCCGCATACACACAGGCTACACACACATATCTCAAAAGGTGGGAACATTGTTCCGCATACACACGCTACACACATATATCTCACCAAGGTGGGAACATTGTTCCGCATACACACAGGCTACACACATATATCTCACAAAGGTGGGAACATTGTTCCGCATACATACAGGCTACACACATATATCTCACAAAGGCAACACGCATACAATCTCACAAAGGTGGGAACAGTTCCCCACATACAAACAGGATACACACATATATCTCACAAAGGTGGGAACATAATCCCGCATACATACAGGCTACACACATAGTTCTCACAAAGGTGGCAACATTGTTCCTCATACACACAGGCTACACACATATATCTTACAAAGGTGGCAACATTGTCACGCCCACATACAGGCTACACACATATATCTCACAAATGTGGGAACAGTGTCCCGCATACATACAGGTTACATACATAGATCTCACAAAGGTGGGAACAGTGTCACGCATATATACAGGCTACAAACATATATCTCACAAAGGTGGGAACAGTGTCCCGCATACATACAGGCTACACACATATATCTCACAAAGGTGAAAACAGTGTCCCGCACACATACAGGCTACAAACATATATCTCACAAAGGTGGGAGCAGTGTCACGCATACATACAGGCTACACACATAGATCTCACAAAGGGGGGATCTGTGTCCCGCACACATACAGGCTACACACATATATCTCACCAAGGTTGGAAGAGTGTCCCGCATACATACAAGCTACAAATACATATCTCATAAAGGTCGGAACAGTGTCCCGAACACATACAGGCTACACACATATATCTCACAAACGTGAGAACAGTGTCCCACATACATACAGTTTTCAAACATATATCTTACAAAGGTGGCAACATTGTCCCGCATACATAAAGGCTACACACATATATCTCAGAAAGACAACACATATATATCTCATAATGGTGAGAACATTGTCCCGCATACATACAGGCTACACACATATATCTCACAAAGGTGGGAACATTATCCCGCATACATACAGGCTACACACATAGTTCTCACAAAGGTGGCAACATTGTCCCGCATACATACAGGCTATACACACATATCTCACAATTGTGGGAACAGTGTCCCGCATACATACAGGCTACACACATACATATCACAAAGGTGGCAACATTGTCCCGCATACATAGAGGCTCACACATACATATCACAAAGGTGGCAACATTGTCCCGCATACATACAGGCTACACACATACATCTCACAGAGGTGGGAACAGTGTCCCGCATACATACAGGCTACACACACACATATATCTGACAAAGGGTAAAAACAAATATCTCACAGAGGTGGGAACAGTGTCCCGCATACATACAGGCTACACACACACATATATCTGACAAAGGGTAAAAACAAAT